GACAAATATTTAGTGGGTGTATTACAAAATACACATTCATGTCTGTATATTCCATAAACGCCTGGATGAGGCGGGAGGAGGCATGGGCCGAATCCGATCATTTTTGATGCCGGCCGGCTGGTTGCGAACGATGGCGATTACAACAACCGAAAAATGCGCCATGGACCAAATGAGTCAAACAATGTTTGTGGCCAACTATATATGAGGAATATGCAACTTTACTAGAATATTTTTCACCAAAGTCTGGCATGTGTACAAGGTGACCCATCGACCTACGTGCAGGTGTATCCCCTCACAACGCCACCGTGCCAGAGCCTCATTGCAAACCGTGGCTAACTCTTCAGATACACTCGAGAAAAAACCCTAAGCTGCACCAGCCAACAACCCTTTGTATTCAACTACGAACAGGAATTCATGCTTCGCCGCTTCCTGCTTGCCTCAGCGAAGAAAACTGTGGGATCCGTCGCACAAGGCAAGGATTATTTACTGCTGACCTTCCATTAGCTGCGTCTAAGGATAAGGAGCCTTCAATAGAGCCCACCCTTTACTTGTCCTCAACCTAGGTGCTGGACTCCAATTAGTGTCTCCGCATCTTAATCCTTGACCCTCAAACCCGCCTAACGTTCTCCACTTCTGCCACATCCCCTCCCACTTCAGCTCCAGTTCAATATGTTGTGGTAGAGACCTCCAGTTCAGCCACTAACGTCAATACGTCCCTTACAGTCTTCACTGGGGGAGGCATCCTCGTGCCAGTCTGGTCCCCCAACACTACGTCAATGAAGATGGTGCTTGAATATTTCATTCTAGTGATTCCAGTTATCGTGAGTAGGCGAAATTCTCTACGAGAAGTAGAGGCGAGTAAACCCATAAGGCAGACTGTCTGCGGGCTGTCTCAGCTTTGCAGTGGAAGCTCTTGGGCCTGCAGCGAACGCGAGACCTATCTCCCATATGGGCCTCGTTGGTGCTCAGTCTTCACAAACGGCGATGTGGTGGTTGTTTCGTTAGCAACAAGCTTGTATTTGCGTTTGGCTTGATAGACGTGAACCAATGCCAGGCATCTGCTCTCCAGCCGTCCCACTTGCGGTCCTGGAATTCGTCGGTGTTGGGTTGTATAAGCATTGCCAGTTTCAAGCTAACCACAAGACGTGGCGGAGGCCTTAGTCCCCTCCTGTAGTAGTCAAATGCAACTCTCAGAGCACTGACTACGGAGGAGCTCGAATACGTCTTCCCCAAAACGGGTCTCTTGGAGTTTCCGTGATACCCTGCGTTTTGTATGTGACGAACTACAGCGGGCCACAAATCAGCCCTCCTAGCGTAATTGCCAAGTACTTCTGTGGCGCAGTATAGAGTATCAAGCACCATAAATACCCTCCCCAAAATTTCAACGGCAGGTTTCGTGTTGCTGTAGACAGGCATGGGATCTGTTGCATATCCATACAGGTGCTCTGTTTTTTCCAGGAGAACTTCTAATTCCTTGCTCGTCAACCGCTCCTTCGTCAGTACATACCTGCATTCCGACAGCACCCAGACTATTTTTTGCCTCTTATAACGAAACGCCCCTGCGTTAAGAAAGCTAAAACGTCGCCCGCCAGGCGATGGCTCTACCTCAGGGAGACGGTAAAACGGATGCGTTCTGAGAAGCTGTTCAGAGACACCCCTCAACATCGCTTCCAGCCAACCACGTGAAGAAACGAGGATGTCGGTTGCAACCTGAGCCTGCGGAGATATGACCTAAGCAAGGGCACCACAATGGCAGCATGCCCGGCAGCTCCACTCCACGTTTTATATTGGCGAAACAGAAATCACTACCATATCACCTCGACAAAAAACAGGGGATATTCATGAAGACACGCAGAGGCAACAAGCTCAAGGTGATCCAAAAGTATTCCTTGGTGGCAGGTGTCGTGACATAGTAAAACGCCAACCTCATCATATGGCCAGCTTACCTGCAGCGAAGCTTCACTACCCTCCCCTGTTAAGGGTTGGACGCTACCAGTAAAAGATGGTGACAATAAGCGTCGAAGCCCAGATGGTTCGAGGACGCCTGCTGCCCTTGCATGCTCAGGATCAGTAGACGTCGACGGTATTCCAGGCGGTGTTTCTGCTGGTTTCTACTCCACAACATATGGCACACAGAAATCCATCCTTCACCACGGCAAAAGCACAATCGGGCAACTGCAGTTTGATAGCTCAAGGATACAAGACAAGAGTCCTTGAGTCTCTTCGGATAACCCACCTGGGCTGCATCCACGAGAGAGTCACGTTTTGATTTTTGAGAGCTGGACGATGCCCCCCCATACATTTGGCCTTTGGAAGGGCCAGCGGATGCTTTCTCGCGAGATTCTGTCCCTTCCAGGCTGTCTCCGTTACTACCTAACAATATAGAAGGTGTCATGCTGGAATCTATCAGGCCCAATGCCTCCTCCACAACCTCCGCTTCGCCACTCGACAACCAATCATCTGTGTAGAGACCCGGAGTCTTCTGGCTGGCTTCTGACAACACCGATTCGAAAAAGCTCAACGGACTCATGGCGGGTGAGTCATATTACCGGAGGAGGCATTCTGGGTGCTGGCATACGCGCATCCTGTCTCTTCTGGCCCACATACTCCTCACCAGGCGTTGCATCTTCACTTTCCAATCTTGATGGTGTCATATAGGCTATGTCGTCATCAAGGAGCCACGAATCCTCCCCTAGCACAGGAACGCCTTCAGATAAAGTGGAATCAATAAGTGAATCGAGGTCCGGGTCTAGCTGGGGGACCGATGGTCCAAGAAGGCTGTGATGAATCGGTGCCTCCAATTTCTGTACCTTGGCTCCACGCCCTGCACCGTCGTTTCCGCTTTCCCTTCTCTTTTCACCCCTCTTCTCTTCCGCTGGTCCTAGATGAGGTCTTGCTGCACGGTAAAGGCCTTCGACAGGAGCAGCTGTAGCACCCATTAGCGACAGCGCTATACGATGTGTGGTCTCCGACTCACCACTCCAAGGTGCGGCCGGAAGAGAGAGGCCATGCGCGCTAGGGATACGACCCTCGCTAGGTTGTTCTGGGGTACCTGGAAAAGCCTGTATGTCCTTGTCACTGTGTGGGACGCACGGATCTGTCTCATTGTTTTCTTTGCCATCCTCGCCTCCGGCGAGTTTGCGCCCAAATAATCGAGTGGATAGTCTTCCTCGAACTGACAAACTGCACAGATAGGCAAGGAAGATGACAGCTGACACTGCAGCAAGTACAGCAACTACTGGCAATCCTTTCCTGTGAGGCGCCGCATTGCAGGGTCTGTAGCCCGACCACGACGACGAGTCTTTTGCATCTTTCTCATGGGGTGCGGCAGGCACGTCTAAATACGGCTGGGAGGTGGTCTGGTGCCATGTAACTGGCTTCTCCTTCGGCAGCCAGCTAACCTCCATGGAGCCGGATGTAGAGACCTACATAAACTATATTGTCAAAAGGTTGAGCCACTACTGCACACACAGTGGCTGACTAAGCATTTGGAAAAAGACTCAAGAAAAATTGAGGAGAGTTCCCGGTAACAAGGATCAACGAGGAAAACAGGACCGACCTTTCGACAGCACCATTCCTGTCGTTGACGAAGCTGTCCCCGGCAGTTAATCACTGGCGGGGAATAACAAAAAAGTCCTGTCTTCCACAAATCCTGAACCGAATGCTAGAACGTCAAGTGCTATATAGGGTATATTTACGGTTGCCAACCCAGCTTGCAAGTATTTGTGTTTGTGATTCTCCGGTTGTCTTCTTTGCGGTGCAGCCTCGGAGCTGTCCCCTCCCCGCAGAGGTCCAAACCCGCAAGGGAGAGGGAGAGCATGCAGCAGCGACGGTTCAAGAGAAGCGAATTTTATGAATATCAAGAATTCCACTAAACTAGGGCTCTGAACGGTTGAACAAGCAGCGCAACTCGGTGTGACGGATATGCTCGTGTATGCCGATCCGACCCCAGCCCTGCGTTCCCAGGTATGAGCAGAGACCCAAGCCTAAAACTTCATTCGTATTGAAGGAAGGATCCAAGTAAGGATTAGCAGTGGCTAATAGTTTTTTGAAAAGGATTTCAAGCAAATAAGACTCACCGTTTACTCCTTATGGGCTCAGCGACTGCGGCCTGTGGCGGTTGTTCCTCAACATGCCCCATCTGACGTTGGCACATCTAATCCTACATACGATCAGGCCGGCTACTGAAAGCAAATTCATTGTTGAATAGTTGTTGACAGTATTATTGCTTGCATGTTTGCAATGTATGGTTGGTTATGCTTGCTTTAGGGGTTGTCTTGCAACTGGCTGTGCAGGATGCTGCAGCTTCTCGACCTTCACAGATGGTTGCCCTGAGC